GCGGGGACAGCCTTAATGCGCTGGGACGTAACCTCGGCTCCTTCTAATCATCGTCTGGGTGGGCGACCCCCCCAGCCCTGTGCCCCCTCCCTGATCTGCCCACCCAGGCTCAGGAGGGACACAAAAACCTCCCTGCCCGTGTGTGAGGGCCATACCCAGGCCCCCCACGCGGTGCAGGGCGTGGGGTGTGGACCCCCCCCCCGACCCCCCTGTGCCCTCCCTGGCATCCTGCACCCCGGAGTGCCCCTGCCCGCTGTGGGGGGTGCGGGGCTGGGCTGCGGGGGGGTCTGGCTACTGCTGCGTGGGGGGCTGTGGGGGGCACCCAGGGTTGTGCAAGTTGCCAGGGGGTGGCAGCAACACACCGAGCATGGCAGAGCACCCCCGGGATGTGCCAGAGGGGGGGACACCTACCCCAGCCAGGCTCACCAGTCTGACCACTTACCCCCTCCAGCATCCCCAGCGTGCCGTCCTGGAGGGATGTGACCCACGGGGCAAGGTGGTGTGGGGGCCCAGGGCTGTTTTTCGGGGACGGGCCCGTGTGCCAGCCCACCCCCCCCGTGCTCAGGGGTACCCCCTGTGAGCCCGGTGCGATTCAGGCTGGGGGGGACCCTGGCACGGCTGTGCCTCCTGCTTGGATGCTCTCAGGGCCACTGCAGGGTGACACAAAGGGCTTATCCCACCCGGCTGTCCCTGCCTGCCCCTGCCGAGACCTGGCACACTCGGTGCAGGCCGGCAGGCAGCCGGGGTCGTGCTCACCAGCCGGCGAGGCAGTGCCCCCACCAGGGATGCTGTCACCCGTGGCCCCTGCCATCCGGCAGTGCCGTCTGTCTCCCTGCCCTTGCGGGAGCGGGGCACACCTGAGCCCCGACCCTGGGCACAGGCGGACACGGCCCCACGCGGGGGTCACGGGCACACAGCCACTCGCCGGGCCAGCTGGTTGGGGGGGGGAGGGGGCAGGTTTTCAGGTGCCCCCCCCAGATGCCAGGGGGCTGGGGTGGCAGCAGGAGCCTGGCACGGCCCCAAACCCCCAGGTGCTGGCTGTGTGGCACGGCCATGGTGCCAAGCCCCCTGCTCGGCCCAGTGCCCAGGCAGCCTGTGGGGCAGGATCGGCCCGGGGTGGGGGGGGGGGCTGGCCCTGGCGTAAATCTGGCTGGGTTTGGCAGAGGACAGGGCACCCTGCCTTTCCCTGTACTACATCCCCATCTGCCCTGGCTCTGCCTGCGTGCCCGCTGCCTCGCTGACCCTGTGCCATGCTGTGCCATGGGAGTGTGGGTGGCCAAAGGGACCCATGTGCCTGGCTAATGCCAGACTTGTGCTGCCGGTGGGCGAACAGACGGTCCTGGGATGGGTGCCGGCGGGTGCTGGGGGGGTTGGCACTGCCTTCGGTGCCGTTGCCCGGGGAGCAACCGTTTGCCAGCCAGGTGCCTGGCGTTGCCTCCTTATCTGGGATTAAACAAACCCTCCCCAGATCCGGCGCCAGGCGCTGCCCCTGTGCCCATGGAACCAGCTGTCCCCTACCCCGGAGCTCCTCCATGTCCGCTGACTCCCCTGCTATGCTGGGCTGCGAGGGGCACCCAGGCCATGAGTTCTTGGGGTGAAGAGCACCCCAGAAGCTGACCCCAGGGTCCCCTCGCTCTGGTTGTGCTGTGGCCCCTGGGGTCTCTGCGCATCAGGGCGGCTCAGGCAGGCATACCCCGGGGCGGGAGGGGGGGGGGCACCCAGCCAGTGCCTCCAAAGCAGGGCACAGGGTGGCACCATCTCTGTCCCCGCCTTGGGGCACCCCCAAAACATTCCCACGCAAAATGGGACCCACTGGGGGGGTCCCCCTCTCCCGCTTTGGCCGGGGAGGTGCCCGTGCCCGCGGCGTGGCGGATCTTGGCAGCCATGGTACCCGCGGTGCCAGGCTCCCCGGAGCGGGGGTGCAGCCCCCCTTCTCTCGTTAGCCGCTTGGCTGTTATCTCCTGCCGATAAATTATACAACACAAGCGCGCCTTTGAAACGCGGCCAGGCCTCCATCCGGCCGGGCGGCCTTTGGGGGCCCGACATCAGCCGTTTGTGGGCTGCCTCCATCCAGGTGCCTTTGCTGGGGAAGGGGACGGGGACGTGGTTTCGGACACTGCCCTGCTGAAGGGATGCTGGGGACAGGCTCCTGGGCTGCAATATGGACCCAAGGGCAAAAGCAGAGGAGCGGTGGGGCTGGGAATCCTGCCTGCACCCCGTGCCCATACCCACGGCTTGCACTCCTGCCTGTACCACCACCCATCCCTGCCTGCATTCCTACCCATATCCCTTGCCTGCACCCATGCCTCTGCCTGCCTCCCTGCCTGCACCCCTTGCCCATATCCCCAGCTTGCACTCCTACCAGCACCCCTGCCTGCCACCCGGTTCGGGGTGCAGGGCGGCAGCGGTGCCCGGGCTGCCAGCCGGTGCTTCAGAGACGGCGGCGGCCCTTGTTATCTGCCCGCACAAAGGAGCCGAAACGCCGCCGTTACCGGAGCAAACAAGGGCAGGGCAAGGCTGGGCGGTGGGCAGCCACCAGCACCTGCGGGCAACCGCCCTGGTGGCATCGCTGCCGGTGGCGGGGCGAGGGGCAGGGTGGCACTGTCCCCATGCCCAGGGATGGGGGTGCCCCCCCATGCACCCCAATGTCAGGGAGCCAAAGCCACGTGGGCTGCCCAGGGCGGTGCTGCCTGCTGGTGCGTGTTGCACACGCGTGTGCATGCGCGTGTGCTCTCCCACCGGCTCTGCGGAAGCCCCCGTGGGGTGCAGCAATGGGGCGCAGTGGCCTCAGGTGCTCATCCCTGCACCCTGCTGGGTTGGTCCCCACCTGGGCTGGGGGTCAGGCAGGAAGAGACCAAGCCGAAATTAAGCTGTTAATGAGCCCGTCTGTCACCACGCCACCAATTACCCAGGCTGGGAACGAGGAGATGATGGAGGGTGGTGTGGCTGGGGGAAGGGGAGCAGGATGCCAGGGTCCCCAGCATGGGGGCGGCTGGGGGCTGTCACCATGTCTCAACAGCTTCCCATCACCACCCGCCCCCCCTCCTCCCCCCAGGGGCTGCCAGCCACATCCTGCAGGGTGGGGGACAGACAGCACCAAGGGGTGGCAGGGCCACAGCCATGCCAGGAGCCCCCGGGGGGACCTGGGAAGGGATCAGCCCCTTCCCCCCACTGCTGAGGCCCTGGGTGAAAAAATGAGCTTCTGGAGAAATAAATCCCAACCACTGTCCCTGGCTGGCACAGGGGGTGTCACCGGTGTCATGAGCTGGCTGTTCTCTGCCCTCGGGACATGGAGGGGCACATGCCTGCAGGGAGCGGAGACAGTGGCTGTACCCTGGGGATGCTCCCAGATCCTCTGGCTGCTCCCGGCCCTGAGAAGGGGTACGGCAAGGAAGGGGATTTATAGCCCCCCCCCATCACCCTGCTCAAGACTCCTCTGGTGCGTGGCAGAGGTGCCTGTCCCTGTCCCCGTCCCTGTC